GTGAGTGTGTGTGTGCGTGGGTGTTTAACTGTGTGTGCGCAAAACATAGGTATTCATACAATTATAAACGTATTCTTATTATTTTCTGTTTAACTCATTGACCTGATATGGGCGGTTGGCGGGAGCTCTGGTGTGGTTTGCTATTTCTTTCCTATCAAAAACCTATTATTCTTATCTCCTCTACTTCTATTTTATGCACTTTTCTAACCATATTTTGTTGCAAGTGCTATAAAACTCTTACTAAAACTAAACGGGCCGGGCACCATAGTAAAAAACGATATTGTTATAAAATGCAAAAGGCTCGATGTGATATCTCAAGATGACGTCATTGATTCTCATTACCCAGGTGGTGTCCCAGGAACAGGGCGTGGTCTATTTCCCCGTGCTGGCCTCCGACATTGGTGTGGCCGACGTCGAGGTCTCTGCACAGTCCAGCAACGCTGCAGACGCCGTCCGCAGACACATCAACATCCAGGTACGGTTGAGGAGTTGTTGGGTTTTTGTTTGGTCAAAACACCGGTACAGTTAGATCAGGTGCTTAATATTAATCTTTTTCTCCTTTACTCCTCCTCTACGTGGCCTTATACTTTTTCGGGCTGTTGAGTTGGATTATAGAGTAGATCTGGCAATGAAAGGCTGACTTTTAAAAGTTTTATACTTCCATCGACACGGATTAGATCATTTAGGAGGCGAGATGCTTTGAACCTGCTTGTCAGAACCAGTCTCGACGGAGTGCGAAGAGATATACAAACTCCCATGAAAAAGACAGCTCCAGCCTGGGGTGGCGAAACGCCTAGCCGCTATCCAACCGACGTTTTAAAACTTCGGGGGATGCATAGCACGATCTTGTGAAGCACTGATAAAAGTGAGACAGACACGAAGACAGAAGCAATAAAAGGAAAGGGAAGAAGTAGGACCCCACAAGTGACACCCTCCAACCAAACACTACTCTGATGGTTGTGTAGTCGTGGTAGCTACAGTGGTCGTCGGGAACAAATAGTTTTCTGAGGCTTTAACTACCCCGCT